TGGCTGGCAATCTCTGTCTTTTAGTATTTTGAATATATCATCCCATAGCTTTTAGGGTTTGTGATGAAAAGTCTGATGTTAGTCTGATTGGGGCTGCCTTATAGGTGATTTGACACTTCTCTCTTGCAGCTTTTACGATTCTCTCTTTGTCACAGAGTTTTGCTAATTTGACTATAACATGTCTTGGAGAAGACCTTTTTGGGTTGAATACAGTTCGGGATCTTTGAGCTTCCTGAATCTGAAGATCTGTGTCTTTTCCTATACCTGGGAAGTTTTCCGCCACTATTTTACTGAATATATTTTCAATGCAATCTCCTTTTTCCTCCCCTTCTGGAATATCCATGACTCAGATATTTGAGCACTTAAGGTTGTCTGATATCTCTCTTAGATTTTCTTCAATGTTTTTAGTTATTTTTTCTTTCTTTTCTTTTTTTTTTTTTTGTCTGCCTGTGTTATTTCAAACAGCCCATCTTCAAGGTCAGAAGTTGTCTCTTCTGCTTCTGTAAGCCTGCTGGTTAAATTCTTTGTTGTGTTTTTTATTTCATTGAATGAATTCTTCAGCTCAGCAAGCTCTGCTACATTCTTTTTCAGGGCATTGATTTCCTTGTACATTTCTTCTTTCAGGTCCTGTATACTTTTCTTCATTTTATCATGTTGCCTAGCTAAGTTTTCTTGTATCTCATTTAGATTCCTTAGAATAATCACTCGAAATTCCTTGTCAGACATTTCAAGGGCTTCTTGTTCTATAGGATCTAGAGCTTGAGAGTTATTACCCTTTGGTGGTGTACTTTCTTGATTTTTCATATTTCTGGTGTCTTTCCCTTGATGTTTAGTCATTCTGGCAAGGGATTTCACAGTCCAGTGATTTGACACTATTTTCTGGCTAAGATGCTGCTGGGGCTGCCAATTTGGCACGGCTGCCTCAGTGTCTGCTCGGTCACCCACTGATACCTCAGGTGCGTGGTTGCCTTGGGTCTTGGGCCTCTCTGTGGAGGTGCCTTTCTGGTCGGTGTGCACTCGGCTCGGCTGGGGATGGAGTCCAGCAGTGGCGAGGCCTACCTGCTCAGTTGCACGCTGGCACCACGAGGCATGTGGTCTCCACAGATCTCGGGCCTCTCCGGCAGGGTGCCTCTCTAGTCAGTGCACATTCAGCCAGGCTGGGGATAGAGTCTGGTGGCAGCGAGGCCTACCTGCTTTGTCATGCACTGGCCTGTAAATCTATTTTCTAATTATTGTTGGAAAATTGGAAATCTAGAAAATTTATTATTCATAATGTCAAGATGTCATTACAGGAAATAGTAGAAAAGGTATCACTGATGCCTAATAAATATTTATCCTCTTAGAAAGAAAATACATAGTTCTATTGTTTCTCTTATCCATTTTATTCTCTCTCCTCATTTGGCTATTTTTGTTGAGTTTTCTTATCTTGTAATTGTCATTTTCACTAAAAATCGATTTTCTTCTCATTTGAAAATACCTATGACCTAAATTTTAGCGTATANTTGGAAAATTGGAAATCTAGAAAATTTATTATTCATAATGTCAAGATGTCATTACAGGAAATAGTAGAAAAGGTATCACTGATGCCTAATAAATATTTATCCTCTTAGAAAGAAAATACATAGTTCTATTGTTTCTCTTATCCATTTTATTCTCTCTCCTCATTTGGTTATTTTTGTTGAGTTTTCTTATCTTGTAATTGTCATTTTCACTAAAAATCGATTTTCTTCTCATTTGAAAATACCTATGACCTAAATTTTAGCGTATATTTTACCCCCTTTTCTTTCATTTGGCTCAGCTTTCTTTGCAAGAAATGCAGTTTTTTTAGCATGAGGTTTGCACAGGGGAATGGGGTGTACCCTTGACTCTGATATTATTTAGAATTCTACATTTTGGACATTGACACATTGGACTTGCTCAATTTTTCTTCTTTGTTACATGAAAATGTTAAGTGTAGAGGACTAAACTTGTCAGTATAAATCTGAGGTCAAATGGATTCAAACCATATTTATGCTGAACATGTTGTTTAATGTGATGTGTATGACAGCATTTGATCTGTTTCATGTCCAGTCCACAGGTCGCACAGCTTTAATGGAAGCATCCAGAGAAGGAGTAGTAGAAGTTGTTCGGGGGATATTGGAAAAAGGAGGTGAAGTCAATGGATATGACAATGACAGACATCACGCTGCACATTTTGCTGCCAAAGGAGGTTTTCTTGATGTAATAATCTGCTCTTTGCTTTAAAATGTACTGCTAAAACTTTTCTCTCCTTTTTCTCAGTTTTTATACATCATGTAGGTTACACTAAGCAGGTTTTTTTCTGAGTTATCTATGTCGTTTTCATCTTGATTTGCCCATGTAGTTCTAAAATTATATCTTTAAAAAATGTTCTACTCTTTATTCAGTTTTATCTTTTGCTAATGTATTCATTTAATATTAAAAATAATATTTTTCTGTATGCTTGACTATGACAATTTAAAATGTCTGCCAAC